GCTATCATCACTTCTTTTCCATATTTGAGAACCTAGCCTGTGCAACAACTCAAGGGAAAAAGAAGCCGTATAAACATTGGAAAGGAAGAAATGCAAGTTTGTTTTTTTTTTTGCAGACTATAATTTTCTACATAGATAATTCAAAATAATTTACAGATAAGCTATTAGAAGTATTAAATTAATTCAGCAATATTGCTGGACACAAGGTCAACATAGAAAAATTATTAGTCTTCCTACTCATCAATCATCAGTCGTAATAGGACAAAGATCTCATTCAAAATGGCACAATAAAGTATGAGCTGCCCAGTGATTAATCTAACAGAAGATAGGAGAATTTTTATGGAGAAAATTATAAAACATTGTAGGAAGAATACAAAGAAGATCTGAAAATAAATGAAGAGACATATGTTCATGGATCAGAAGACACAATATCCTAAATATGCCAATTTCTCCTAAAAATTCAATTAGATATCAATAAAAAAATCCCAGTGAAGTTTTTTTTTTTATGGAACTTGACAAATTGATCTTAAAATTCATATGGAAGAGCAAGATCTAGATATTTTTGGAAAAGAACACAAGGAGGTGGGATGGAAAGAAAACTTAATCTAAAGATAACAAGACTTAGTGGTATTATAAAGGAATGGTAATTAGAGAGTGGGGTGATGGCGCAGAACAGAGAGCCCAGGAAGAGACCCACGCACATATGGAAAAGATATACAACAGTTGGTATTTCAATTCAGTGGGGGAATGCAATTACTTTTAAAAATATGATGCTTGGAAATTTTGTTATCCACGTGGAAAAACTTCAAATTAGGTTCCTAGTTCCATACTCCAAAATAAATAACTAAAAAGCTAATTTTTAAAACTTTTAGAATATGGAGAGATCTTTATGACCTTTGGTCAGGTAATGGTTTCTTAGGACACAAAAACAAACCATAAAAGGAATGAATGACATTTATAGAACAACTTCTGTTCAAAAAAGACATCTTAAATAAACTTGAAGACAAAATACAGACAGACTAGGGCAAGGTGTTCTCTACTCAAAAGAAAATCTGAATGGCAGCTTCACTAATAATCAAGGAAATAAATATTTTAACTATACAAGATACCATTTCACATCCATCAGATTGACAATAATTAAAAAGGGATACTACCAAATATTTATAAGAATGTGGAGCAGATAAACAGAAACTCTCATAGGCTGCACATGGGAAAATAAATTGGTAGAATCACTTTGAAAAGCAATTTGGCAATGTCTAATAAAAGTTAGCTGTGCATGTCCTTCAACTCTGCAATTGACTTCTAGAGAAATCCTCCCATGTGCAAAAGGAGACACATATAGGACCTGTATAAGAATTCATTACAACATTGTTCATATTGGAAAAACTAAAAATCATCTACATATCCATCAGCAGGAGAATGAATAAATAAATGGAATACTACAGAGCAGTAAAAGTACTCCCTATATACACATGGGTTAATCTCAAAAACATAATGTAGAGATAAAAAAATCACATAGTAAAATAGCTTAAAGAATGTGATATATTTACATGAAGTTTGAAAACATGAATATTATATATAGCTTCATATATATTTTATAACATTCCAGGGAAAGATAAATATCAGCATTCCAAAGAGCTAGGTCTTGGGTGCTTAGATGGAAGATATGTTAGTGTCTTTACTTAGTTTGCTTGAAATATAGTAAAAACTGTAATAATCCAGATCTATGTAACTGTCAGTTCAGACAGGACTCCTGAGCTCCCTGTGTGTGCATATTTCATGACACTTGGCTTCTTGGTGGCCCTCTCCCACAAAATCCTGAGCTCCCCAGGGACATTGTCTTTTTCTTTTCTATGTTCCCAGGGTCTAGTGTATTGTAGATGTTCAACCCATGTTTGTTGGTTGATTGGCTGACTAAATGGAGCAAGAGGGGAATGCAAAAGGAGGAAGGTCAGGAGGAGGATGGATAAAGAGGTTGAGACAATGCTTTCATTGCCTGCATCCAACATGGCCGCCTATGGACAGAAGTGGATGGACTTGAGAAAAGCCAGGGAAATGAGCTCCGCCAGACTTGAGACACGACTAGAGGGAGAAGTCTAGAATATTTCCTGAGCCTCTGACTTGGGAGATGCCGATGGTGGAGTCACCACCTGACATTTTGCCTGTTTAGGTAGGGAACCTGAAGGACACATTGGTTTAAGAAGAAAGTGCTGCGAGACCTCCCCAGGTAAATATACAGCTTGTACTAGAATATATGGGTCAAGGGCTTAGGAGAGAGGCCAGGGCTGGACGTGTAAATTTGGTTGTTACAGGGAAAAAAGGATAAGGAGCCTGGCAGTGCATAAGCTTCCCCAGGGAGAGAGGGCAGAATGAGAGCAGGTGGCTGCAGACAGACCTTGGGGAGCATCAAGTTTAAGGGCTGAGTAGAGAGAAAGATCCCAGGCAAGGAGGCAGAGACAAGAGTCCAGAGAAGGAGGAGGACAGGAGCATCGAGGAAAAATATTTCAGGAGAGAGAGTGGGGTCAGATAAGGAAGAAAAGTGCAGAAAGAGAAGAACTGAATAGTGTCTTTTGAATTTGGCAAAAGCAGGCCATTTGTGGTCTTTGCTGTAGGAGGAGTTTCATTGGAGAGGTGAGAGGTGTCGCAGAATACATTGTGTCACGAGTGATGAAGGCCTGAGTGGGAGTAAGTGTGGAAGAGTGAGCCTTGAAACCTACTTTTTTCAGATGCCAGGATTTGAAGCGGGGAGAGAGATAGGTCAGTTAAAATCAAGGGTGGATTTAGGGGTTGGAAGAGAGTTGGCTCTGAATACACTGAAGGAAACTGAAGAGAGAGGTTTAAAATATGGGAGATAATTGATGAATCAAGGTTTTGTCGGAAATGGAGGACTGCACCAATACTAATACTAGCAACACTAATTAGTACAAGTAATACTAATACTAGCAAACACAGAACGCCTGCTATGTACTAGGTGCTCTTCTAAGTGCTTCACACAAAATTAACTCATTTAATCCTTACAACAATCCTATGATGCAGGTACTACAATTACCTCATTTTACAGATGAGGAAACTGAGCTACCAAGAGGCAAAACATTATTTTTTTATTACAATTTTTACCATTTATTACCATTTATTGAGTTTTTTTTATTTATTAGGAGTATGACTGCTGACAACAACTCTGTAATATATGACATACTAGGCATAGTAAGAACACAGTGTGAGGCAATATGACATGGAAGGGGAGTTTGCCTCAGCCTCTGATTTTGGAGGGAAGGATGGATGTGGTCACCAAGATGCATGTGGACTTGGGGGGCGGAGGTGGAGAGAAGGCAATAGGAATTTGAGGCAGGTTAAGTCAATGGCTTCGATTTCTTTGCAAAGTACAGAAGGAACACATTTATTGTGGAAAACACAGGTAACAATAAAAGAAAATAAGAATATTTTAATTCCAAGCCATTGCCATAACTACTTTTAACATTTTGTTGTGTTTACTTTCAGAATTTGCTCTAAGCCTACAAATACAGGCATAAATACAACAGGGAAGTCAACCCTTTCTTCTGATGGAGAGAATAAGAGTCAAACAGACCCAACGGGATCCAAACTGTAATTTCGGAGATACAAGCAGAACATTTCTCAGTGTATAGGGGTAGCTGTTTGACCTTGTTCCCTCGACCTATGGAACCTCTCCAGGTCTTTAGTTACTTGACCTGCAGAGCCTCTCCCAGAGTGCAGAGGTCTGAGGCGCTGTGACCTGAAGAAGCCAGGCTGTCTTGCACAACGCACTGAAGCCGCAGGGCTGCATCTTTGTGGATTGCTTCCTTGGAGAAATGTTTCAGACCTAAGTGTGAATATAGCTCAATCCTAGTGACAGAGTAACATTCCTACTAAGAGCTGACTGCATGTAAAAACAAAAACAAAACAATATTTACATGTGTGTTTGTTTCAAGGTAGATGATCCTTAAACATTTGTGGTGTGTGTGTGTGTGTGTGTGTGTGTGTGTGTGTTTCTCTTCTTCACTGAGGAAATGCCAAAACCACATTCTGGCTTCAGGGATGTAGCCCCTCAGTAATTGGGAGTGAGATGGGGCAAGAATTCCTGGAATCACCCAAAGGAGCATTTAACAGATGGGTGCCCTGTGAGTGGAGTCATCTGGGGGAAATGCTGTCGGGTATGACGGTCACTCCCTTTAATTTTTTTTTTAAAGATTTTTTTTATTGGGGTATTGGGGGGAAGGGAACAGTGCTGGGGAATTGGGGGAAGGGGAACAGACAAGTTGCTGTCCTTTTGTTCTTCAGTCTAGTTGTGGAGGACGTTGCTTCACTGGCCCAAGTTGGCACCATCATTGCGCTCCTCCCAGGCGAGGCAGATCAGTCGCCGGCTTCTGGACAGCCGCTCACTGTGGCTGCTGGCCGCTCACGCTGGCTGCTGGCTACATACGGTAGCCCATGGCAACCCACTGCCACAGGGGCTGCAGCCTACGCCGTCGCCGGCGACTCAGGGCAGCCCAGCTCCAGGTTGAGCTGTTGTTCAGCATCTTAGCTGTAGAGGGCAGTGTCACTGGCCCTCATATGTGGGATCCAAACCGGGGCCCTCTGGCGTCCCAAGCCAGTTCTTAACCATTGCGCCACTCGGCCGGCCCACTCCCTTTAATTTTAAGCGTGTCGAAGACTGGCCAACAGATCCCTGAGAGAAGGTGTAGGAGAGATGGAGGTGAGGTGTTCTAACCCCAGGAAGTGGAAGGGGCTGGGCCCTGTCCTGACTCTACACCTTGGGGTCAACCTGAGGATAAATAGGCACTTGATTGAAGGGTATGACCCCAGGACCTGATAGCGGTTGATTGATGGAGCCAAGCATTCAGACAGCTCCTTTTAGACCATTCCTCTAGAAGCACTTGTTATAGCAAGAACACTGCTTTTATAAAGACAGGATCCTGCTCTACACATTCTTCACTAAATAATATATTGTAAATACCTTCCCATATAATTAATTGTTCTACATCATGCTGTTCAGTGGCCACTCTATTGTGGATGGATCATGGCTTATTAACTAACTCCCTGTGTTAGAAAAGCCCACCAGACTGGACCTCCCTAGGGACCAAACTAAGCCCATCTTGGGAGGTAGCCAGTGCCATATCCTCCACCTCCTTTAAGGACCAGCTAAGTCAGTTCCTCCATCTCCCCCTTCTTCACACCTTCCTGTGGTGGTTCTGGACCACCTGTTGAAGACCCAGCATGCCTTGTTGCCAAGCACGCAGAAAAAGAGGTCCAAACACACTGAGAAAACACCAAGGCAAAGGCATGGCTGGGATCCCAGCCCAGACTCCCTGTCCTCCTGCAGTGACAGTCTTGGCTGAGCTGAGCCCTTTCCTTATGGTGTTTGGCTTGGATGTTAGACTAGGTGAGTCAGCCCTCCTGGCATCCTCCTTCGAGTCGAAAGTCTCATTGAGATGGGGTTGTTGCCAGATCAGTAGAATTATTGGTCTCTCCCACAACTCAAGTCCTCCCAGTTCTCTCTCTCTGAAACTAAGTCCTACAATGTGTCCTGTGAGGGCATGGGAAGAACCAAGCCATAGGCGCTGACCTTTATCATCAGCTGTATAGTAGCCCAGAGCCTCTTGTGGTGACGTGGGACCTGGGCCCTAAATGAAGGGGCACTTCCCACAGTGTAGCCAAATTATTTCCTTGGGCTTGGGGCCAGTGAGCATGTACCTCCCAGGTGACGCTGGACAGACCTGGTTAGAATCCCAGCTCCATCACTGATTGGTTGGGTGGCCTTGGACTTACCTCTTTGATCCCTCAAAGATAAGTTTTCCTCATCTTTAAAATGGAAAATGTTACCTCTACTTATGAACATAAAAAAAGTCAATGCATACAAATGTAACGAGGGGCTTAAAACTAAAATTTCCACCAGACACCAATATGCATCATAGATGTGAACATTGAAATTGAGATGCCAAGCCACTTATGGAGATTTTTTTCTAAGGAAATGCCAAAATCTGTCCCAAGACTTTTGAAACCCCTTGCCCACTTTGGTACTCTGAAAAAGAAAAAACAGAGGGTATAGGAGGATTTTGTGAGGACGATTTCCTGGAAGAAAGCTATGCTGTGAGTTCCATCTTGGGGACAGGGTGAGTTCCTGCTCCCTTACCTCAGACTTAGTGAAGGTGAGTGTCTGTGTGTGTGTGGAGGCCACTCCAAGAGCATAATGTGGGACCCCTACAGCTGGTGTGTGGTAGCCTGGGCTCTGGTCCCACCTGGGAAATTTGGAAGGTGAGAGGGGGCTCACTAGATGCTTTGGTTGGGCTGCTGCCACTATGCTGGGACCAGCTTGTACTTCCTGAGTTTTTCTCAGGGTATGGGAAGCATGTGAGTTTCTCACATGTAGAGAGTGAGCCTGCAAGGACTCCATGTCTTGGAGTCCTTGTGTCGGGGACTCCACTGGCTAAAGGCTGGAGGTGAATGCCCAGAGGCTGAGGAAGGGGTCTCAGGTGAATGCTTGAAATAAGATTAGACTTGAAATACACCCACAGGTTACAGAGAACTTGGGGAAAGAGTCTTAGTAGGGAACCTGTGGAGACGGCATTAAAGCACTTCATGAGAAAGAGGCAGAATTTAACATCTGCCTGGCAAGAAAGCTTGAAGTCAACTTACAGCTGTTGCAGCCCCTTCCCCTGACTGCTCCCACAGAGCGGCAGCTGTCGTAGCCATGGTAACTGGCTGGGGAGGCTGAGTGGAAAAAGAGAGAAGAAGCCCGCCCCTCTACACTGTCCCCACTGTGGGCTTCCATCTGGGCAGGTCCAGCTTGGGGGAAGAGAGAAAGATTTGTGGTAAAAGTAAGTTCAGACTTTTGATGAACACCTTGCATTAGCATTGTAATCTCTGAATTGAGGCTGTTCGCAACCCAGAGTGACCACAGACACTATTCTAAGAATGAACAGAAAAATCTCAGGCCTGTTGGAGTTGTCTTCCAGGCTGGGGAGGGTTCCTCCCTGGAATACTGTCAGTGCAAGGAAACAGTACACCAGTTACTCAGGGTTCTGAGCATAGCAGTGGCAGCTGGGACACACACAGCAATCACTCTTTCTACCCCACTCACCTGACCGTCTCTGGTTTACAGTCCACTCTTGCCCTGACATAACTTTTCTCCAGCTTATATGTTATGCCTGAAGCATGTTGTCTGAATGTCCAGGCCAAGTTCTCTTGGCAAAAGCCATTCTTGCCACTGATTATCTTGAGCCTAATCTCCTTAGAAGACAGATCACCTCCGAGATGGGCGCAATCTTCCGGGAGAAAGAAGAGCATGAAGTGTTTTCCCCATTTTTTCAGATGGGGGCTGTACAGCCCCAAGAGTGAGGCCCGGAGATGGAGCAGGCACACCGATCTCTGCCATTTAACTGTCGTAAGGCCCCCATTGGCAGACTTAAGCTCCCTGCCACACTGGTTGCTCACCTGTAAAAACAGTTGATAACAATAATGTGTATCTCACAGAGTTGAGAGTATGAGATGAAATCATGTATTAGGTTGAACCCTAGTAAATAGCCAACATTCAATTGTTTTTTACTCTACAAAAATGGCAATTTCAGATGGTTTATCATAATGTTTTGTGAACTCTAAATTATTAATTATTGTGTTAAATAAAACCAAATAACAGTAACAACAAACTTCTTCCAACCATGCCCCTTAATGAGACTCCAGAATCCTGCTTGCAGGAATGTCTCAAGGTCCCTGGTGATTTGTGAGGCAGCCACAACTGACAGATTGAGACCTGCGAATGCGCAAGTTCTTCTTGGTTCTTTGCCAGTTTCTCCCAGTATCCAGAGAGCTCCCTCTTTCTCTTGTGGTCTCACTGCAAAAGCTAGCACAAGTAACAAGCCTCATGTCCCCCAACCCAAAACCCAACACCTAGAACCCTCAAATGATCACATTCTGAAATTTTACTACATTGTGTTTAAATGGGCATTTATTATGTTCACCCGCTGAGTACTCAGTGTTAGTATCCTCTCAATTCTGAGGACTCGAATTTTTCAGGTTTGAGAAAGACTCATTCATTCTTTAAAAATATATCTCCCATCAGATGGATAAATTTGACTTTATAAAAAATGTTTAACTTTTGTATAAAAAAAGTATAAATGCAATTGAGAAAGGATTCAGGGATGGGTAAAAGGGATGAAAGGGGTCAAAGGTACAAACTTCCACTTATAAAATAATTAAGTCATGGGGATGTAATGTACAGCATGGTGATTACAGCTAATAATACAGTATTGTATTATTGGAAAGTTGCTAAGAGAGCAGATCTTAAAAGTTCTCATCACAAGAAAAAACAATTTGTAACTATGTGTAGTGATGGACGTTAACTAGACATATTGTGGTGATCATTTTGCAATATACTGAATCGTTATGTTATACACTTGGAACTAATATAATACTATATGTCAATTATATCTCAATAAAAGAAAAGACGTTCAAAGAGACAATTCACAGAAAGGATCCCCAAATGCCCAATAGACTATGCAAGGATGGTCCAAGTTACTATTAGAAATCTGAGTCATGCAAAGAAAATTTGTAATAAGGTATAATTTTTCACCCATCAGACTGGCAAAATTAAAACGTCTGAAAATATTAAGTCTTGGTGTGGTTGAGGGAAAATGGGGACAGCCATACAGTGCTTGTTGGAGTATAAATTGAAGAGCAATTCGACAGAATCTAGTGAAATTGGAAATGTGCATATCCTATCACCCTGCAGTTTTGCTTCTGGATACACACTTGGAAAAACTTTCACCCAAACGCATAAGGCACGTATTATTACATTGTTTCGTGATGGTAAAATGTGGCACTACTGCATAAGTCCACCTATAAAGTATTGTATAAAAATGTGGCATAGTCAGTAAGATAATGAAATATTCTACAACAGTCCAGAGAAATTAACTGGCCCTCTCTCCATAAGTGTGGAGAAAGATAAAACTTATCCTGCTGAGTGACAATAGCGAGTTGCAGAACCCTATGTACAGTATGTTATTACTTAAGTAAAATTTAAAGCCACATGCAAAAGCATCACATATGTTATATAATCCACATCAAATATATATGTATATATATATGTGTGTATATATATGTATATATGAAAAAAATATATGTGTGGAAAGATATACACAAATCCATGCTGTTGGTTGCTGCCCTAAGGAAAAAGGAGAGGAAGGGAGATTGGATTCTTAAATGCCATTAGCTTTATTTCTGGTTTTGTTTCTTTAAAAATATTACTTAAAGCACATCTGGTAAAGCATTATAAATTTTCAGTACTGATTGGTGGGAACACAGTATCATATTATTTTCTATTCTATTTTGTAGCTTTAGCATTTCTTTAAAAATTCCCTCTGTTTTATTTTCTTCTTCTGGAACACCTATTAGAAGGAAATTGGAACTTCAGAATTTATTTTCCACATCTTTCTCTCTCCCTCTTTTAACTTTTGTAAGTATTTAATAAATTTTAAAAATAAAGTATAGTTGACATGCAATATTATATTAGTTTCAGGTGTATAACATAGTGATTCTACATTTATATACCTTACAATGTGATCAGCACAATAAGTCTGGTAACTGTCTGTCACCATACAAAGTTATTACAATATTATTGACTGTATTCTCTGTGCTGCAGATTACATCCTCATGACTTATTTATTTTATAACTGAAAGTTTTTACTTTTTATTCCCCTTCACCTTTTTCACCCGTTGCCCCACCATCCTCCCCTCTGGTAACCATCAATTTTTTGTCTGTATCTATGAGTCTGTTTCCTTCTCTTTCTCCTTCTTCTCCTTCTCCTTCGTTGTCTTCTTTTTTGATTCCACATATAAGTGAAATCATACAGTATTTGTCTTTCTCTGTCTGATTTATTTCACTTAGCATAATACTTAGTGATCTTAGAGAAAGTGCCACTGGCATTGAGAGAGATGGGTCAGGTGGGATCACAGTGAGTTAGCAGCGCAGAGCTTCAGAGTTCACCAGACCAATAAGATTCAAATTTCAACGTAAGCATAGGGGGAGGGCTCAACACAGAAAGATGGCACCCGCCTGCTGGCTGCACTTGAGGACTGCTCACAGGGATAATGTCGACTGTCCTCCAGTCCTCCTCCCAAAACCACACAACTCAATCTGCCCCCTGTATGTCTCTGACACCCCCTGAGTTACTGTCCTTCCGCTGGAGCCCAAGGTGAGTGCCTGGGAGTGAGAGAGACTGTGCTGGAGCCCTTTAATGGATGCCTGGGTTTTTTGCTGCCTTCCATCCCACCTGGTCAGAATCCCCATTGTTTTTCACAGCCAGATGTGGGGTCTCCTTTTCCCAGTACCATTATTCTGGGCTGGGGAGGCCGGTGTAGGGCTAGGGTCCCTCGCTCCTCTGAGGGGAAACTCTGAGGCTGAGATAGCCCTCCAGGTTCTCAACCACCACACGGAAGTTTGGGGTTAGCCAGTTCCGCATCTCCGCCCTTCCTACCTGTCTCGACTTAGCTTCTTTTTTATATCCTTATAAAAAACTTCTGTTCAGCCAGACTTCAGATGGTTCTCCAGGTTGATTTTTCTATAATTTAGTTGTAATTTTAATTTGTTCACAGAAGGAAGCAGGCACAGTGTTTATCTACTCTGCCATCTTGGATTTCCCTCTGACCATTTTAAAATTAGATTGTTTTTTTGATGTTGAGTTGTATGAGTTTTGTATATATGTATATGTTTGGATACTAACCTCTTATCGAATAAATACAGTAATACCTTGGTTTGTGAGCATAATTTGTTCCAGAAACAAACTACTCATATTGAAAGACATCGCTCGTTTACCATGTTAAAATATATTAGAAATATTTGCTCATCTTGTGGAACACTCTCAAACCAAGTTACTCACAATCCAAGGTTTTACTGTATTTGTAAATATCTTCTCCCGTTCATTAAATTATCTTTTCATTTTGTTGATGGTTTTCTTCACAAAAGCTTTTTAGTTTGATGTAGTCCTATTTGTTTATTTTTGCTTTTATTGCCCTTGGCTTGGGAGACATATCCAAAAAAAGTATTGCTAAGACTGATGTCAAAGAGTTTACTGCCTATGTTTTCTTCTAGGAGTTTTATGGTTTCAGGTCTTACATTTAAGTCTTTAATCCATTTTGAGTTTATTTTTGTACATGGTGCAAGAAAGTAGTTCAGATTCATTTTTTTTTGCATGGATCTATCCAGTTTTCTCACCACCATTTATTATTATTTTTAAAAGATTTTATTGGGGAACTGGGGGAGGGGAACAGCATTGGGGAATCGGGGAAGGAGAACAGACAAGTTGCTGTCTTTTTTGTTCTTCAGTCTAGCTGTGGAGGACGTTGTTTCACTGGCCCATGTTGGTATTATCATTGCGCTCTTTTCGGGTGAGTCAGTCACTCGCCGGCCATTGGTTGGCTGCTCACGGCGGCTCATAGCAGCTCACAAAAGTGCACGCCAGCTGCGGGCCAGCCCTACTGCAGCCTACACCATCACGTGGGTGACTCACGGTAGCCCAGCTCCAGGTGGAGCTGTTGTTCACCATCTTAGCTGTAGAGGGCGCAGTGTCACTGGCCCTCATGTGGGATCCGAACTGGGGCCCTACTGCTCAGAACTGGCATCCCAAGCCAACTCCTAACCAACGTGCCACTCAGCTGGCCCTCACCACCACTTATTGAGGAGACTGTCATTTCC